ACTGATCGAGCAAACAGCTGACTGATCCAGCAACAGCTGACTGGTCCAGCAACAGTTGACTGATCCAGCAACAGCTGACTGGTCCAGCAACAGCTGACTGGTCCAGCAACAGCTGACTGGTCCAGCAACAGTTGACTGGTCCAGCAACAGTTGACTGGTCCAGCAACAGCTGACTGGTCCAGCAACAGCTGACTGATCCAGCAACAGCTGACTGATCCAGCAACAGCTGACTGGTCCAGCAACAGCTGATTGTGGTGCAGCAGCAGCAGCTAACTGATCCAGCAACAGCTGACTGGTCCAGCAACAGCTGATCGTGGTGCAGCAGCAGCTGACTGATCCAGCAACAGCTGACTGGTCCAGCCATAGCTGATTGTGGTGCAGCAGCAGCTGACTAATTCAGCAAACAGCTGACTGGTCCAACAAAAAGCTGATCGTGGTGCAGCAGCAGCTGACTGATCCAGCAACAGCTGACTGGTCCAGCAACAGCTGACCGTGGTGCAGCAGCAGCTTTCTGACTGATCCAGCAACAGCTGATCGTGGTGCAGCAGCAGCTAACTGATCCAGCAGCAGCTGACTGGTCCAGCAACAGCTGATCGTGGTGCAGCAGTAGTGACTGATCCAGCAACAGGTGACTGGTCCCGCAACAGCTGATCGTGGTGCAGCAGCAGCTGACTGATTCAGCAACAGCTGACTGGTCCAGCAACAGCTGATCGTGGTGCCCGCAGCAGCTGACTGATCCAGCAACAGCTGACTGGTCCAGCAACAGCTGATCGAGGTGCAACAGCAGCTGACTGATCCAAGCAACGCTGACTGGTCAAGCAACAGTTGACCGTGGTTGGCAGCAGCAGCTGACTGTGGTTATGATAGTATTTCTCACCCTTTTTACCACTGGGTTAGCACTAGAGGCTTTCTTGGGGCCCATGGTCATTATTTTGCAGATGAAATCACCAAAAACGCTGTAATAATACGAAATGTTCCGATTGTATGCTTGGATGTTACCGCGGAGGTTGGCTTGTAAACAATGCCACCGGCGGAACATGTGAAGCTGGCTTAGGCGCAAAATTAGAAGCGTCTCGGATATAAATGCGTTTGAGCGAGTTTTTAGCGGTATGCGAGGCAAAATTTTAGTGATAAAATGTATCGGTATGCGGATTTAACGTTATGTGATGCCAACGGTATGCGAGGGGTCCACTGTATATATATATAATATATATATATATATTTATATATATATATATATTATATATATATATATATATATATATATATATTTTATATATATATATATATATATATATATATATATATATATAATATATATATATATATATATATATATATATTTATATATATATTTATATATGCAAAACAACCACTCTGAAAGAATAGAGAAATTCCAAGCACTTTCGTGACTACTCACATTATCAAGGAACTATGAAAATAAAGCATCGAAGGAAGCTATATAAGGGGTCTGGCCAACACCTCACTATCAGATCCCACAACGGTTAAACACCTGACGCGTGCCGGCCCAACTGGACAGGTCCTTTGCACAACTCACCAATAAACTATTCTACCCAAGAAAATTTAAAATTATTATTTGTCCAGTGTGTTATTTAAAAAGTTGAGAAAGTAGTATCAAGCAAGTCCATGGTCGACAGGAATATAATTGAATCTTGTTTCATAAAAAGCAGTTTTGACAATAATATGAATATTTTCTTTGGTTTATATAAATTAGATCCATTTATAATTAATAGAATTTGGGATGAATTTAATAATACACTGGACAAATAATAATTTTAAATTTTCTTGGGTAGAATAGTTTATTGGTGAGTTGTGCAAAGGGCCTGTCCAGTTGGGCCGGCGCGCGTCAGGTATTTAACCATTGTGGGATCTGATAGTGAGGTGTTGGCCAGACCCGTTATATAGCATCCTTGGATGCTTTACTTTCATAGTTCCTTGATAATGTGAGTAGTCACGAAAGCGCTTGGAATTTCTCTATTCTTTCAGAGTGGTTGTTTTGCATATTCTGAAATCACCTGTTTACTGTGATCTTATTGCATATACAGGAAGGCCCCACTTATACGGCTGGTTAGGTTCCAGGCTACTGCCGTAAAGCGTAAACCGCCGTGAAGTGGAACACCCTTTTTTTTCCACTTACAAATGCATACAAACACTAGATAACAAGTTTACACTAACATATATTAAGTTAGCAATAGAACCAGGCATCAAAAAACAATAAAAAGTACAATACACACATAGTGCACTCATTACTTACCTTAAAATATTTATAGTCTTAATCTAGGGTGAGACAAGTAGTATTTATTGTAAGAAATCAAGTGTGGTATGTATGGTAGTCAGCCAGGCTACCATACCAGGCCACCCCACCCACACATACAATTCTATGATATTTAAGCATCCCAGAGCGATAAAATGTATATACAGTTCACTCATTACTTACCTTAAAATATAGGGTGAGATGAGTAGTATTTATTGTAAAAAATCAAGTGTGGTATGTATGGTAGTCAGCCGGGCTACCATACCAGGCCAACCCACCCACACATATATTCCATGATATTTAAGCATCCCAGAGCGATAAAATGTATATACATTTCACTCGTTACTTACCTTAAAATATTTGTAGTCTTAATGTAGGGTCAGGAGTAAGTAAATGAGATAAAACGAATAAATGAGAGAGAGAAAGAATGAGTGCATGAGAGAGGACAGGCGCAGAGTTATGTAAACAAACCAGGCGAAGGTAAGTTTTGTAAACGAAGTGTACACGTCTGGTTTGTGTACAAGTTACATTGTGTACAGGTTGTCTCTACATTGATACGGTAGAATAAATAAAGAAGAACACTCCCATTCTCATGTAACATCATTTTGAGAAGAAATGATGCTCTGAGTGAAGGCAATGGAAATAAGTCTGACTTTTTTGGGTTATCCTAGGTTCTCTACACATATGTTATTATGTATGATAATCTATGTAACTGTATTTGTGTATACCTGAATAAACTTACATACGAAAGGAATAATTTTCTACAGTTACCCCCAGTAACACATTTTCTCTTATGTTAGATTAGAGAAAATGTTATTCTTGGCATCACTTGTACAAGTTATCTGGCTACGACATCTCATATTTATGTTTATTTATTCTATTGTAAGGTGTATTTATCATTTTTTTATGTTATGTATCGTGTTTATTATATAATTTTGAAAAAAATATCATGGATGGATTAATGAAAATGTGTATATTAACGTAATATACAACATTTAATAAGACTCGGTGATTATTATTATTAGCATTTCTAATATGGCGTCACTTGTGCAAGTCGTCTGCTACCACATCTCATATTTATGTTTATTTATTCTATTGTGGGGTGTATTTAACATCTTTTTATGTTATGTATCGTGTTTATTATATTTTGAAAAAATATCATAGATGGATTAATGAAAATGTGTATTTAACGCAATATACGACATTTAAATGAGACGATGATTATTATCATTACTAATATGACGTCTGGAGACATAAGACACTCTTACTGATTTTAATGTGTACCTGCATGCCAGCACAGTATGTAAGTTTATTTAAGTACAGGTATACATAAGTATAATTATCAGAGTATATATAAAATATGAAATAACTTTTAAAAACATTTGAAATTTTGGAGTTTCCAGACAAAATGGAGAGACTTAGTGCTTACTGAGCTCACGAAGAATGTAAACAAACAAGGTGGGGCGCGGTGACCGTATTAGAAAGTCAGGTGGGGGGATCCGTATAGCGAGTTTTGGTCATAATTTGAAATGACCGTATTAGCGGAACGCCGTAAAGTGAAACGCCGTAAAGCGGGGCCCTCCTGTATATATATATTTCTTTCTTTTCATCACCCTGTCTGGTCTCTGGATATTAACCATGGTACAGTAAATGATACTGGTAATTCTGGAGGTGCCAAGAGGAATAAATGTAGAAAAAGGAGGAAACTGTTCAAATTATAGTAGTCCTTGATTTTCTCTTGAAGGAATGCTTCCCTTAAGTCTTATTTAGTGCCTTATCGTACTTTTGCCCAGACTAAAGGAGATGTTGGACTACCTGTGCTGGAAAATCAGTGTTTTACCTGTATTACTCACTCAAAATGTGTTAGAACATAGGGAAATGAAGAGGAATCCTTCCTCTGCAAGCCATGCATGTCATAACGGGCAACTAAAATGCCTGGATCAGGGAGCTAATAACCTCTTCTCCTGTATAAGTTCCTAAAGTGAGTTCCTGATCAGCTGGGCTAATACCAACAGTCTGATTGATCAGACTATCTTTCAAGAGACCTGGTCTGAGACCAGACTAATGGGGCATTAACCCTAAGAATGCTCTCTAAATAGACTTCAGGTAGTATTGTACAAAATTTTGGATCAACTTATTAAATATAATGCAAATTTCCACAGGCCATTTAACTCACCTCTGCCTGGCATCATTTGACCTCACCTGTGTGGCACCTTATCTAACCCATCAACACCTGATCTGTCCTGGTGGCACCTGGCCTGGAAGCGCCACTGTCACACTGCAGTGTTGAATGGTTGATCTTTCATTTTGTGTGTGTGTGAAAGACCAGAGGATGCCAGAGGAATGTGGTTCCTTCCTGTATATACAGGCAAAAGTGGTCATGTAAGAGTATAAAGAGTCAGGTGAGGTGTTGCAATAGGTTTTGACATGCATGGCATTACCTATAAAAAGATTCAGAATGACTGGTTAACCATACTTAAATTTTGGAGGTGAAAAGTCATGCAGTGTTGTCGGTCATCAGATAATGATGATTACTCGGCTGAAGATTTCTTCCTCGGGTTGTGTTAGAAAGTACTTATAAGTAACTAAAAGTACATTCTCTAGCTCGTATTTCTTTAAGGATTATTGTGTGTGTGTGTGTGTACAATACTTTGGCTGCATAATATATAGAGTATTATAGGTTAATTGAAACATATGTGATGTATGACACTTTGTTTTCTTACAGGGCAAAGAAAAAATAGTTGATGAAGTGAAGAGAAGACTGAACAGAGGGGCTAAGAGTGACCATTTATTAGTAGTGACAGTTTATGATAATTGGGAACGTGCATGTCAGTATGGTAATGAGAGACAATACTGCAGGGACAACTTCCTCTCCTCTGCTGTATTACATCAGCTCAAGTGAGACACCTATTTTAATCATTTCTTTTGACATAAATCATTCAGTATGTATGTTAGCCCAGGTGACAGCTGTTTATCATATTGGATTATCTGTGAAATTATTCATATAGATGGTAATAAAGTTTTCTAATATTTAGAAAAAATAGATGACTTATAAACAAAGGTAAAAAAAAGTATATGTGATTGAATTTTGGTTTTACAGTTTTATGTACATTTGGAGAAGTTCATAACTTTGGGCATATGTAAATTACCCAATTAATATATTATTTGTTATAATCTATCCCTTTTTATTCAAAAATGTGTCCATTGTACCTCTCATGAAAGTACTATAATCGTTTCTTTATGAAAAAATTGACATAATTTGGGAGTATAGTAGATAACCTCATCATGCAAGATAAGTTCCAGAAAAATGGTGTTAGACATGAGAATGTGAAAAGTGGAGTAAACAGTTTATGGGACAAAATAGGTTATGTTCTATGCCACCTCCAAAAAGCCAAACCACTTTTCTTGTCAATACACAGTTCACCTAAAATAATGAACTGTCATATAATACTGGCCACAAGTTGCCCTTGGCCATAAGATGAAGATGGAGGTTGGACAGTCTCTCAAATAATCAGGGTTTTGCTTAACGCAAGACATAAGACTGGAGGTATATTTTGTGGCCTCACAGATGGGAGTAAATCCACAACTATCATCAAAATAGTGTGGACAAGTACATGAGTGGAAGTGATTGGGTATGAGTTAGCCCTACTTAGCATGGGCCAGTAAGCTTGTTGCTGTATTTTACTAATGTTCAAATATTTTTACATAGTGTTTCCATTTCTTCAGAATCATCAGAGCTAAATTGTAAGGATACTGGAAATAATATTTTTATACAAATTCAGAATTTCAGCATTTATATCTCCTTTGCTTTCCTTCTACCGAAGTGACTTTTATGCTTATTTTAGTGTTATCTGTAAATGATACAAAATGGGTGTTTTTATCTATGTTATGAGAATTAGAAGCAGCAGAGGTGCCAGGACAGTACCTTGGGGAACTAAACTTTTTGCCTTGCTGATGCTGAATTTTGCTCTTGTTCACTACTTCTATTTGTCTTTTGTGTGTTAGGAACCTGAAAATACATCTGTCTACCTTCCTTGTAATGTCTCTGGCTTTCATTCTATGTACAGTCACCCCATGATCACAGTCACACACATTTGCAAAATTTATGTATATCACATCTGCATTTTGGTTTTCTTCCAACTCCTCCACAATTCTGTCATAGTGATTCAGCTGTTGGGATAGGCATGATCATCACTTATGAAATTGTGCTGGCTTGGGTTTTGCAGATTGTGCTGTTTCATGATGTTTGTAATTTAACAGACATCTCATCAATCTCAAAGATTTTAATGATTTTATTTTAATTTTTAGCTAGTGCTCTACTACTTCCCTTATGCAGAGGAGCTATATCTGCACTCTTTAAGGTTTGGTATTTCACCTAGCTCTAGGCTTTTTCTCCAAAGAATACTGAGGGCTCATGTTAGTGGTGCTTTGTAATTATCTATAAATAGAGAATTCTATGAATCTGGTTTATGTGCTCAGTAGAATACAGGAAGGTTTAGGAATGGGAAAGTCATTGAGTCAGAAAAATAGGAAGTTGAATCTATTTGCTAGTTAAAATTTGTAATTTATAAATGGAGAAGCTTCCAAATTTGTAGGGACTGCTGTGCAGGGAAAGGAAGGATGAAGGGATATTACACAAATAACCCGCACATAGAGACTTGGACCATTTAGTGTCACATTAACAGAATCAGCCAATCAACAATAAAGTTTATTCTCTATAAGGATTACAATGCTGAGTTTGCAGAATTTGGATATTGTGCGGTTTACATGTTTTAAAATACTAATTACAAAGGGGGCCACTAGAACACCTAGCATGGCTAGGCATTTTGGGCAGACTTAGATTAATTCTTAACTTTAAAATATTACATATTATGAGGTAAGTTGGTATTATGGCTAAGTGACTAAATACTAGTTTGTGAGTTTAGCAATGTGAATGCTTTTGTTTTTGCACAATACATAGTTTCAGTATTGGAGTATCACAGGCCAACTTATGACTAGTTAGGATTCATTATTTTAAGATTAAGATTGATATTTCTGTGTTTATGGTCAAGTGGGTGAGTGAGTGTAAGTGTGAACCACCAGGTGGTATTCATGTAATTAGTTGACGGGGTGTATCAGGGAGATATGATGTTTTCTAATGGTAGTTTTGAAGGTGATGAATGTGTCTGCAGTTCTAGAGTATTCAGGGAGGGTGTTCCAGATTTTAGGGCCTTTGACATACATTGAATTTTTGTAAAGGTTTAGTCGGACATGGGGAATGTCATAGAGATGTTTGTCTGGTGTTATGCCTGTGGGTTCTGTCACAACTATCAAGAAAGCATTTTAGGTCAAGGTTAATATTGGAATTTAAGGTCCTGTAGATGTAGATTGCACAGTAGTAAGTGTGGATGTACTGAACAGGGAGTAAGTTTAGATCTGTGAAGAGTGGGGGGTGTGTTGCCAGGGATGGGATTTAGTGATTATTCTTACTGCGGCTTTTTGTTGAGTTATTATTGGCTTTAGGTGAGTTGCTGCAGTTGATCCCCAAGCACAAATAGCATAGGTGAGGTATGGATAAATAAGTGAGTGGTATAGTGTGAGTAGGGCATTTTGCGGCATGTAGTATCGTATGTTGGAGAGGATCCCAACCGTTTTGGATACTTTTTTGGTTATGTGTTTTATATGGGTGCTGAAATTCAGGTTGTTGTCGAGGTATAGGCCTAGGAATTTGCCCTCATTATGTCTGGCAATTAGAGTGTTGTCGATCTTAGTGTTAATTTGCTCAACTCCTGCTCTGCTACCAAACATAATATATCCAGGTTTTGTCAGTGTTAAGCGTAAGTTTATTGGCTGTCATCCAAGTCGATATTTTGAGCAGCTCCTTGTTAACAATGGTGTTGAGGGTGGCAAGATTAGGGTGAGAGATGACATAAGTCGTGTCGTCAGCAAAGAGAATGGGGTTCAGGTGTTGGGAAAGAAGGGGGCGGTATATATAGGCCAGCAGACAGAGCTTGGGACAAGAGAGGTAGTAGGAAAGGAAGTAGAGAGATAGTAGTAGTAGTAGTAATAGTGGAGCCAGTCCGAGACCAAGAAAGAGGACTGCAGAAGAGCTAGGGGCCCACAAAGAGTAGGAACAAAAATGGGGGGGGGGGGGAGGGAATAAAAAAAGAACCAAACACCCAAGGCAGAAGAAAGAGTTCCCTGAATAGGAAATTTCCACTCTTCGTAATTCATTTTCTCACCTTGACTGCCCTTCCCATTTCATAAACTCTGCCTTCTCACATGCTAAATGGACTCTCTTCTCTCCCAAACTCTCTACTCCCTGGAACTCTCCTGTTCTCTGCCTTCCCTGTATTTCCAGTCTTTCTAATCTCAGTAACTCTCCATTCCTTTGACATCAAACTTACTTTTTGCCAGACTAACACTCTTTACACCAATCTAGTTCATACCTCTCCTCCCTCTATAGATTCTTTTGATGTCTACTCTATTTCCTGTTCCTCTTGTCCTCTTCAGTACTTTGGAGAAACTGGCCATTCTCTTTCTGACAGACTCAAGGAGCACAAAAGTAGTGTTAGGCTTGCCGACACCACCAATGCTCTTTTCTGTCATGTCAGAGATCAAAGTCATCCTGTTGAGTGATCTGCTAAAACTGTCTTCCCTACTTCTAACTTTCACTGTTGCCTTCTGGTTGAATCCTCCCTAATATATATGACTTTCCTTGTATTAATCTTAGTCCTGGCTTTGTCTCTGTAGATGCCTTCCTTTTGTATTACATTGTAAAATGTTTCACACTTCAGAACACCCGTGACTTAATCCGATTCTTTTTTCTCCTTCCTCTTCCCCTTTCGTTTTTCCTCTTTCTTCTTTGGGTTTTCTTTCTTCTACCTTGGATATTTGTTTTTTTTTTTATTCCTCCCCTGTGTTTTTGTTCCTACCTTTTGTGGTCCTCTAGCTCTCCTGCAGTGCTCCTCTTTATTAGTCATTGACTGACTCCACTATTACTACTACCTCTACAACTGCCTCTCTACTTTCTTTCCTACTACCTCTCTTGTCTTGTCTCTGTCTGCTGGCCTATATGTACTGCCCCCTTCTCTCCTTTCTGTTAGTATGGCTTTGTAAATGGTCCAGGTCAGACTGAAACGTCGTTGTATGCTCCTCTCTCCTATGTGCAGGTTATTTGTGTGTTGTTCCGGTCACAGTATTGTGCCTTTTTTGCTAGTTATGAAGGGATATTGGTTATGTCGCAGGTATGAAGGGTAAAAGAGAAAGAATGAGAGGAGGTTTGGGGGGAGAGGAGGAGGAAGGGTAGGTTTTTGTTCATACAAGAGAGCGCCTCACTTATGTTTGCCCAGCAGCCTCGCATATCTTGGAGAATAGTTGCCCTGCCTCGCCAGACATTTTGTATGTTACAGACATTAGGAATTTATTTATTGGGAAACATAATCAAATACAGTGGTACCTTGACTTACAAATTATGAGCCGTCGCTTGGTTGATTTTTGGCTTTGAGTTGCGAGCTAAAATCAGAGTTACGAGTGAAAAAAAATTATTTACTGAAAAAAAGTATTTACTGAAAATGACATTTGGCAAGAACCCCAGAAGGTGGTTTTGGGACTTGGTACTTAAAAAACAATGCTAGTGCAATGTTCTCTTTGGAGGTAATTGTGTAATTATCTTCAGTTATTTTACAGAAAAATAAAGTTGCTAAGTTTTTGACATTTGCAAAATATCTTGCCCTTTACTTTCACACAAATCCCAAAATATTTGTAATATTTCCAATATTCCACAAGCCAATTGTAGAACAATCATTTTTTTATGATTCCTGTCAATATTATTGCATTTTTTTTAATAATAAATGGCGGGCTTCATGACATAAGTCAATAACTTACTTCTGAGATATTCATATATTTATTTATTTATT